TATATGCCACCGTAGGATACACTAGTAACTGAAGGCGTAATCCGAACTCTATTGCAAGGTGCCAATCCCTGACTCTACAGCCCTCATTTTCTTCTGCCGTCTGTCTCGCCTAGCTTCGCTCGCATGTTGATTCCTTCATTGAAACCGTAGGTATCCAGTAGAGATCAATCGTCTTAATGATATGGCTTCAACAGCCACTGATACATTCTTTTCTAGAGCCAATATCTCTGATTAGCAGCAGATAGTCACCATAGCTTCCACTTAACTTTGCGGATATCCGGAGCTAGCTCCCTTCTTACAATGTTCATTCTTTTGGATTGCTTGCGTCACAGCTCAGATGGTTTGTTGACCTATTATATGCCACCGTAGGATACACTAGTAACTGAAGGCGTAATCCGAACTCTATTGCTGGTCACTTTTCTCCCTCTTAGCGCGCCGTTGTGCCGCTCGTCCTACTCGCATCAACTCTTCTTGATAGCAGCTAGTCATTGTTGGCTCCATGTAGTTTGCAAGGAGCCACTCCCTGACACTGCAGCCCTTATTTTCTTCTGCGGTCTGTCCCGCCAAGCTTCGCACGCATGTTGATTCCTTCATTGAAAATGTAGGTATCCAGTAGTGATCAATCGTCTAAATGATATGGCTTCAACAGCCACTGATACATTCTTTTCTAGAGCCAATATCTCTGATTAGCAGCAGATAGTCACCATAGCTTCCACTTAACTTTGCGGATATCCGGAGCTAGCTCCCTTCTTGCAATGTTCATTCTTTTGGATTGCTTGCGTCACAGCTCTGCTGGTCTGTTGACCTAGCACCTGAACTGTCACCTACCTTCATTGGCTTGTTGATACACTCAGCGACCCTATAGGCATACGCTAGTGACCAAGCGTCTGACTGGAATGGCTACATCAGGCCACTTGGTCTCTTCTATCGCCACCTGTCGGACGTCGTATATTCGGAATTTCTGTTCAGAAATTGATAGTGGCCATTGGCTCCATGCATATGCGATAATTTAATGCTTGTTAGGAGCCACTCCGTATCTCAATATCCTTTATTCCTCTAGAATTTCTGCATCCAATCCTTCCTCTGCCCTGCCACCAATTAATCTTTAGGACTCTCACGGCAATCTATTTATTTTCGCTTATTACGCGCTCCCTCTCGGATTACGTCAACTACTTGCTGTTCATAAACCTGACAATCACTACCATTATTCTAACTCTCTTTGCTCTATCCCTACGCAATTATTGGCTCCTACTAAACAGATACTTCGTACTTTACTTACTTGTACAACGATCTTGTCTCTAGGCAGGCGTTAGCAATCCACCTATACGGCTAATGATTCCGGAGGATATTCAAAAGACATTTTCAGCATAATTATTGTTGCACAGTGTACATGCTTTTGTCTCAAGCACAAGTGTTGTAACTTAAGATATTAACAATGTTCAACTCCATGCCTGTTCTTGCGGTCTTCTCTCGGCTGTCCCTCACTTTCCCTTTTCTCTGAGGTCCGGGAATTCTTGGAGATCTGGGATTGGACTGAGGAACAGTTTTGGCCCAAGACGGACGCAACAACCCACATGGACTTACCTGGAGCATGGTAGAATTCCGAAAGGACCGAACTGCAATCACCATAACCCTTGTCCAGTATGGAGAAATGGACATTTCCTCATACTCCCCAAAATTATACATCTGTAAAACCTGGACAGCGGAGAAGTTGAACTTTTGCTCACCTGGACATACAATAAGATGAATAATCACGAGGTCCCTCTCCTCCACCGATCTCAAAAATAATGGCGACCCCGATCAAATTACCTGTCCAACTAGCAGAGGAAATTGGAAGCCATTACTCTGCGAAAATCCGAAGGTAAAACCAGTCATCAAGCGGCTTTGCCAGTTCAACATTAATGTTCAAAATACTTTACGGCAGTGTTGCAGGACGTGGTGGGTTTTCGCCTGGGAAGCGTTCTCCCTATAAAAAGCCACAAATGTCTGTTTAACAACACTGCGACGTGGCGGATGTGACTCGCCACTGAATAAAGTCACAGCCCACAACTACAAACTGGCAAGTCCACCAGACTAACATATCAACTCTTCTTGACACCGTTTCAACTACACACGCTTGAACCCAATGTATCGTCGTGATACACGTCGGTTTTTAAACCTTGATCATGCCTGCGTTAGTGTGTCTCTATGAAACTGAGAATAAATTATTTATTTATTTATTTATTTATACGTGACTTTCCCGATGGCCTTTCATGGAATTTCAACTTGGCCATGGAGACAATTACACTTACTTACGTTTGCAGGAAATTCGAATCCACCTTGCGGAGAATGGCATTTTCATATGTTATTGACATATTCAGCCACAAGTAACAACTGCACTCGTCGTCCCCATGACAAGTCCAGCGTGGATAGCTGGACACGATTTGCGGGCCGCACAAAAATATAATAGAAAAACATGCCTCTATCAACAATGTGTTTGCTCACCTGCATCGTTTATCATTAGACTCTGCGACTCTTTTGCATCATTGGCCGGCTTCAACGACTACCGCCGGATCATTCCTAAGCCGTTCGGTTAGCCAAGGAAGAATTTGGCTGTCAACCGACTGCGAGTAACAGAGTGCAAAATTGGTCTATACGATGCATAGCCGACTAGCACTGCTGTTCAACGGAAGTTATGGCAGTGTTCCAGGACGCGGTGGGTTTTTGCCTGGCAAAGGTTCTCCCTATAAAAAGACACAAACGTCCGCTTAACAACACTGCAACGTGGCGGATAGGACTTGCTACAAAATAATGTCACGGCTGAACCTTTCACACCGAGGCAGTCATCAGGCTTCTACATGCCACTTGTGTAACCGATTTTACTATGAAGAATGCTTCGATGGATCACAGATCATCCCGACTTCGTAATGGTCAATGATTGCACCAAAACCTTGGTTAGGCTCCTGCGCTCATGGATCACTGCATGGCGAAATTAACCCCAACTTGTATCTTGACGCAACAGTTATGACTGATTTTTACGCGCCACAGCGACATATTGTTCCTTAGTCTGACTATTACCTGACAATCGGCTCACTCATATGGACTATATCTTTTCGTTTATACCTTTCATTAAAACGAAATGTTTTAGCATTCCAAAAAAGCTATGAATTTATGCATATTTGATCACGCCATTGCAGGTGTGTCTCGTTTTAGGGAGAATATCTCATTTATTTATTCATTCATTCATTCATTTATGTATACACAGAACTTGTGAAATGCGGTATCGGTCAACTTGCGAATGTGTGCTGGCGGCAGTGACTGTATTGGTTATCAATCACATCCGCCACGTCACAGTGCCTCTAAACGTTCACTGGTGGCCTTTTTGTGTGTAGTACGCTCGCCAGGCAAAAACGCCCCAACCTGTAACACTGCCGACCAGTAATATGACATAGACAGCGTCGCGTTTTACCAAGTGTCCTCGTGGTGCTTCGTACTCATGTTACGGCATTTTTCTGTTGACTGTATATTTGGCTTCTTCGGAGTCGACTGCGACTGATTGGACCTAGTAAAATGGTATGGCTTAGCTGACTGTTATTCCTTAGATTAGCTTTCCGGATACATTTAGCGTGTCAGTATTGCGAAGTGCAGACGTTTGCATTGAACTGTGTTGATTTAATTGCCAGATGGGCAACCCAATTACGTAATCCACGGTGTTTAATGGAATAAATTGGGATCCTATAAAAGAAGGAGGAAAGAAAAACGAGACTATCAAACTGAAAAAGAAGTTGAACTGGACTATTTCAGTTTATGGATAAAAGCTTTTTGGTAATTTTTGTAATGGTTAATAACAATGGATTGACCGAAGTATGCAATAAGGCAAACCTGTTAATTTGCGTTGAATAACGAGACCCGATATACTTTGCATGCGAGCCATATGCTGTCCGAATCAGCCTAGCCTAAGCAAGTCTTGCCCTGCGTGGAACTCGGAAGCATCAGGTGTTGTTAACAGAGCAATGAGTTAAGCAAATCAAAAGAGCATAGATAGTAGCGAAAAGTGCAGTCAGGATATAGGTTGAGCCCTCAGCCACGTGGGGGAGCTTTTCGTCCGAACATGTAAGAGGGCTAGAGGAGTTCCTACTCCGGGCTAGAGAATCATGAGAAGAATGTGGCTAATGCTTCAGTAAACGGACGCTAGAGAAGTAGCTGGATGGTCGTGTGCGATGGCGTGTAGGGGAAATTGCGACCAGAAGAGTAGAGGCCATATACTAGAACTGCAGCGAGAACATGTTTGCACAACCAGCTCGGAAAAGGACGTATGGAAGTGGAAGGAGATAGGCAGTGCTAGGTGTTTCATTCCAAGGTGGAGAGCTACAGTGAAACCTACAAGTCATAAACGGACGGCAGGGAATATTGATGCTGGTAGCTGGCTACCTTGCGAGGCAAGCACCGCTCGCTATGTTGAGCTGAGACGTAGCGATACGGACAAGAATGGTTAAAAATAGGAGCGAGAAAAGGGAGCAATCACAGCGCTAAATAGTAAATAGGTTGCAGAAGCAGCTGAGATGAACCTGTTCATTCGGCATGAGATAGACAGCAGCGCCAAGCAATACTAATCGTTCTACTCCAAGGTGGACTTACAGTAAAACATGCAAGTCAATTAGAAGGCAGCGAAGATAGAAGTGGCAGCCGGATTCGTTGTGGAACAAGAGTTGCTCACTATGGTAGGAGGACGAACGGATTAATATCCGCTCAATTTTATAAACAGCAGCGAAATTAGGCCGGCTTATATCCTACAGCTATAGGGCGAAATCTGTTGCATAGACAGCTCTGTAACGACGTGAGGTAGCCGTATAAACTGGGCAGCGGCGCCAAAATATACTAAGTGTTCCACTCCAAGTTGGACTGCTACAGTTTAACTTACACGTCAATAGACGGCAGAGAAGAGTGATGCTGGGAGCCAAATTATTTTGAATAATAAGCCACACGTTGTTAATAGATGAAGCATGAACTATTAGGCATGCAATATCAAAAACCAAAACGAGGAGTTAAGGGCTAAAATAAATAAATAAAGGCTTTAGTTTCGACGGTGCGGAAGACGCGCACAAAAATATGAGCATAGTAAACCCGCCTCGAGTGTTCAGTAAAGAAGAAGGAGTAATACAAATGAAACAGCACGCTATGCAGTTACGTTGTATGCACGTATGTATGTAAGGGATGGCTATTGCCTAATATCCCCGGTGTGGCTGCACTTGATATGCAGGTTGACAAGGTGTACACTCGCTTATTACCCACTACCCGGTTCATACCGACTCCAGGATACAGTTGGTCGTTGTTGGGGACGGGGTGCACGGTCCCTCTGATCGTATTAGGATCAAGCAATGGTTCCATGCACTCCGAGTGGAGCGGACCACGGTACAGCCACCGCCATGTGTGCACTTGATACCCTAATACTCGTGCTTGTGTCTGCCTGTGAAGGTGTGTAGTCGCTCCGTTGATGAAACGTGGCTCCCATCCACATACCTCCCGGTCTTATTCCTTCGGGTTTACACTGGATATGGGGTGGGTGGATGGAGCTACGGGTGGTGCAGCGCAAGCCACCCATGGTCCCTCTGTCGGCGCAGGCGTCCTGTGGCTGGCCACAGTGACAGGCAAATCCGAAACCGGATGCCGCCAACCAAGTGCCCAATGCAAGTATGTCTTGTGCTTTTGAGGCGGCTTGTTCTTACGGTGTTCATGTGGAGCCCCGTATTGTTGGCGGTTTGCTGGACTTCCGCCGATTCGGTGCGGGTATTATAATCTGTAAGACAACCTTCCGTATGTTGTTGTTTGCTGACAACTGTGCGTTGTTTGCACCCTTCGCGGGTGAGTTGCAGCACATGACTAGAGCTCTGGATTTGACAGCGCAAAATCCGGGCTCACCATCAACTCAAGCACAACTCTCTGTCTCCTTCAGCCTTTACCAAAGTTTCAATCTTCAATATTGCCGCGAATCTGCATTGGTACTGAAGTATTGGAAGCCACCTCCAGTTTCTGCTACCTTGGGAGTGTGATGTCGACTGATCAGCAGATACACAGCGAGCTGCTTATCCGCGGGTCGAAGGCAGCGGCTGTCTTCGGGTAACTTGAGTACCGAGAGTGGAACAACCATCAGCTTACAACTAACATGAAGCTGATGGCGTACCAATCCACAGCGCCGTTCGTTCTTTTATACAGCAGTGAAACTTGGACGATGTACCGGCGGGGTGTTCAATATCTCGAGCGGTTCCATGAGCAGGGTTTGCGACTGATTTGTCGCATCGGCTGGAGGGACAGAGTTGCCGACACAGTGTTGCGGCAAAGTAGAATGTATGCAGTTGACTGCATACTGGCTAGCCGAACAACCTCCTCGTGGTGTCAACTAGGTGGTTCGGATTTAACCTGTTCCAGCAAATAGTTCGGCGGCAGTGTTCCAGGACGTGGTGGGTTCCGCCTGACAAGCGCCCTCCCTATAAAAAGCCACAAATATCTGCTTAACAACACTGTGACGTGGCGGTCGTGACTCGACAAAAAATAAAATCACTGCCCCGTGGATATCCGGATAATTCTATCCAACCTACGGACACCAATCTCCTACCCGGATATTGATGACTATGTCAAACATTCAAGATTGGAGCAGAACAACTACAAGCACAAAATACACAGCTACATACACATACACAAACAATAACATACATACATACCCCATACACAAACACAAACTGCTGCGGCAAACATATCGGATTTTTGCACATTCTTGATCATGCATCGTTATGTCAAAATGATCATGCCTGTAAAGGCGTGCCTCACCATGTTGAGAATAAAAGATTTATTTATTTATTTATTTATTTAATTAGTGAGACACTTGGAGTGACTCGGTCACGTGAGCCGTATGCATTCGACGCGGATACCGAATCCACGCTTATATGGTCAGCTGAGTATTGGGAAGCGGCATTTGGGGAAACCCAAGTTACGTTACCAGGACATGGTAAAAGTGAGCCTCTCACGTTCTAAGCTTGATTGCAGATCATGAGAATCGAAGGCGGTTGATCGGAGCGCACGAAGTGACCTAATAAATAATTAAATATATAGGTATATTTCTAGACTGCCTAGAAGCTGCACCCTTAGTCTTTCGGACCAATGTTTACATTAATCCTATGCTCTTGCATGGAAGCAGGCAAAATAAGAGTATATGTTCCTAGATGGCAATTGCAAATGCATTGGCATTCTTTGGTGTACAGCTGATGGGGTCTTAAGCGCCCACCTTGAAATGCTTCTGGTTCCTTCGGGCGATTTTGAGCTCCTTGTTCTTTTGTTGTTAAAGTTGCGCGGAGCTGTAGTTGTGCCGCTTTTTGTTGGAACAGGAACCAATTCACCACGACTTCACTTTAAATTCATTGGATTTGTTAACCCGCTTAGTCACCACAATTATTGAGCGGAAGAAATGAGTACGGTGGAAGTATAATAGATACGACAAGCTAAAAAGTAATTTCAGGAAATGCGGAT